AAGATTTTCCTTCACTAAAGACGAATCATTAGTAGTATTTTTGGACATTATCTATTGTATGATGTGGAAATAGGATGCCTCAATAAGATACGGCATAGTGATCACACCAGTTGTCATCACCAGTAATTACCACAAAACTAGGTAAAAGGTAGAAGAGTAAGAATGTTTTTGCTTGGATTCTTAATAACTGAAGTATTACTGAGCCTCTTCAAATTTATTCTCCCTGGATATCTTTAATGATGTAAATGCTCTTTACTCCTGTCTTCCCTTCTTCTGGATTTTTTTCTCAGTTATTATGTAGCATAAAATAAACTTGGCTTCCAGAATTGGAAGTTTATCTACGCATTATTAGGTATTTACAAGTTAACAGTAAAAATTTTGCATGTATTTGGAGAGTAGGAAGAGAGAACTCCCCCAGGTTTTATCTTGTTACAATCCAGTATTTGATTGTATTTGATATACTATATCAAATACTATATTATATATTGATAGCCTATATTTAATATACACACAATATCAGTAGATGTGCTGGAATACAGAACGGCGCAATGTATTTCACACTCTTTTGCACTCCTATCCCAATAAAAGTAAGCAAACACACTGAACCATCTTTGCATCTCTAAAAAGACATTGGGGAATAATTATAAGGCTCCAGGTGTTCACTGCTAGTGACTGCGCTGAACAAGGGAATAAACTTTTCAAGTTATTTTATTTTGCTTTATGCAGATTTATTATTAAATTATTGCGTTTCTTAGCTATGTTAAGCTAAATAATTATGAGAAAATGAAAAGACACAGGACTATTTTTAAAAAGGATTTGTTTTTGTGAGTCCTAGGCTGTGTTGTACCCATAGATGTACCAAACCAGAATGGAACATTGATGAGAATTTTGGCCTTGGATAATTTAGAAACTATTTTTAAATTGTATTATGGGGACCTTTCCACTTGCTCTGAGTAGGTTGCAGGACTAAGTTGTGGCAGTTCAGTAGAAAAGAATGAAAAATTCAATTCATATGAGTTTCCAGAAGGATATTCCAGCTTCTGTTCCTTTTTGGAGTATATAAAAATTTGACTATATAAAGGTTTTATGGTCCTGGGAATGGGCAGATCATAGATGATCAGGCAGATAAATCTTTGGGCTTGATATGGTCTTACACAGTGAAAGCACTAAATCTGTGAAAATCTGCCTTTTGCTTTTCAGATTTTGGCCCTCACTACTGAGCAGCAAGTTAAAAATCTGCCAATTTTGTTGGCAGATGGGGAAGCCCTCCCCATTTGGAGGTACTGCAATCAAGTGGATTTTTAACTGGTGCAGCACATCTTTATTTACAACTTGTAAAGTGTGTTTTCTTCTAAAACTTTCCATGTGATACAGCTCTTTATATTATATTACACTTATAAAATCTCACCAAACCCTTATGAATTAAAAGATAATTAGTGGTTCAAAACAAGAAGACATTAGACCAGAAGTGTCAAAAATGTCATGAAAGACCATAAATCATAGTATACTTGAATTGATCCCTCATATAGTTAGTTTTTAAATCATCTCTTTAACACCTTGTAAATGTACAAACAACTATGAACCCAAGGGAAACTTTAATATGTTTTTTATACATATTTTAATTTCATCTCAAAGTACTGGCTGCATAAAAATTAAGTCAGACTCACAAAACCTCATTGATTTCCTCTGGATAAAACCCATCTGTCCAAACTAATTTAGAACCTTTTTGAAGCTGTAAAGTTAGTCATGCAACACTGAGGTCATTATGGACATCCTGTACTGTAGGAACTCTAGTGTAATTTTAAGAAGGTAATTTTGTTATATTTACTGTATTTAAATACAGTGCTACTTTTAAGGAACAAAAGCCTTACTGTGTAACTGTATTGAAAGTAAACCAGAAGCTGTGAAAAGTGAGATCTGTTCTTTTCCTTGTGATTAATGCACCTTTCTGCCAAAATTGAAACTTCTTAACTGAGCTCATTTAATACAAAGTAAACGAATTCTGCTCTTTGGATTTGATCCGCTGGCTAAGCTCTATAGATAAGGGTCTAACAGTGAATAGCTTTCATTCTAAACAAAGGATGTTTTGATAGAAAGGTCAGAGCTAAGGTCTTTTATATTGTGATAACAGGAAAGGGAAATGACATATTAATGGCAATTCATGCCATGGTGGTCTGCTGAACATGGTGGATCCAAAAGTAAAAAAAAAAAATGCTGCAGTGCTATTTTTTAAGGACATCAGTTTTTAATTGGTCTTATTTTGAATGACAATTTCTTTCATTACAGTTGGCAAGACAGTGATGCCAAAATGTACAACACTACTACCACAGGGAAGATTGAAAAAAAATTGTGTGTATTGATCTGGATTCTGCCCTCGAACATTTTGCTGCCAACCAGAATATTAAGCAGGCTTAGCCCTTGTGAGTCACACTTGTAACAAATGATGATCTGTAGCTAATTTTTATAATGCGATAGACTTTAATTACATGCTGAATCACTTGAATAGGGCAAATAAGTTTAAATTAAGAGGTTCTCACTGTGGCTCAGAACACGTACATCATGTTGCGTGCATTATGTGCAGTGTTAGTGATTTGGGGAGCAGGGTTTGCATAGCAGAATAGAAAAAACTGAGTTTTAAAATATTTCTGCACATTATAAAAGATCTCTGAACTATCACGCAGGACTGATTCTACCACAGAAATCTTTGTTCTGGAAAAAACAAAATTATGTGATTTGGCAAGGGAGTCACTTCAGTGAAGACACTTAAAGCAGTTATTCCACTCCCCTTCCCACCCTCCCAGCCCCCTCCCCTTGGGGCAGGCTGCTTTATCTAGAGCCAGCTGATGTTATCTATAATGCCAGCAGCTTTTACATATCCTCATTGAGTCCAACAATTTCATGACATAGGATGATAGTGTAGATTCCCACGTTACCTAATGAAGTCTGAATTAAATGGCATTTCTTTTATGCTTAATAGAGTATCAGCACAGAGAGCAACAGGATCAAGTATTCGAGAAGCAGTGTAGGATGACAGCACAATAGTACATTTTTCCTGTTCATGTCTCACATCTCCAAAGAGAAAACTTCCCTTTGCCTACTTCCCTGCCTTCTCCCTTGAGATGCATTCCCTAGTAGTCAGTCTGTTTGCATGTCAGGCTGCAGCTGAACTGGAGATGTGATCCCCTGCTACCATAGCCACGCACTGTAACCACATTCTCCTTTTCTAAACTACCATGGCACAAATAATGACCTTATATTTGCTTGTAAGGGTCTGCCAGGCAATTTGATGACACCTGATAATTCTGAAGAACATCACATAGGAAGGATACCAGAAACCAAACAACCCTCACCACACTCATGTCTGCTATTTAAACAATCGTCAGCCCTCAGACAGAAAATTGGAACCAGTCTCATTTCTTGCATCCCATCTCTCTGGATAATTGCTATGAGTACACAAGCCCATGTTAGATATGCTTTGTCATGCCATGCCATTTGGAAACAGCTCTGGCAAAGAGTTCTTTTATAAAAAAAAGCAGCACACAATGGATTTTGTGTGCCAGCAAAGAAATACAGGAACTCTAAAAATGTTGCTTACTCAGTAGAGAAAACCTAGAAATGTACCTCTAGGCAATGTAGTGTGAAGGTAGTTACACACCCAGGGTGCACACAAGGTTGATGTGAGACTGCTATTAGGCAATCAGCACTAGGATTTCAAATAATTAATTTCTCCTTTCAGTACATCAGTATATCACTTTGTCCAGTGTCCATTCCACGGTCTTAGTGCAGCCTAGCACAAGGGCTGTATATTATTCCTCTAGGCAGTGAAAATGTAAGAGCTTGGACCAATACCTTTTCCTGATCCTTGATGAAATCCCAAATCAATCTCTAGTCATGATCAACCTCCTCTCCTCACCTCCTCTTCTCCCAGCTGATAATTCTCAACTATCTCAAATATTAGGCACTGCCATCCATTCACACAGTTTACCAGCTACCCTACCAAGAAAAGAAAATATCTGCTTAAAAATTATATTCCTTGGTATCTACTACTGTGTTTCTTCCTATTTGCCCATAGCACATGGTGTCTCCATATCTTTCTTGATATATCCTGCAGTGGTGTGGAAAACTTATTTCAAAAGGTTCTTGCTTGGGTAGCCAAGTGCTTACTTTACCAAGGTGTGGTTGCAAGGTACATGTTTATCTTTTTACTCAATTACACTAAATGATACCTGAAAAAATAAGATATCAGCTAACATTTTGTTTTAGGGAAAGCTTTTAAATGAAGAGGAATGTGTATGCTAGTGAAATATATTCAAGTGTATAAATGTGACATCACTCTGAAAATTTTTAAGTTATAAAATAATAAACAGCTCTTTATGACATAGTTAAATTTTGTTATATTTTAATCTAGCCATGGAATGAAAACAATTTCCCATTTTGTAGTGTGTTACCAAGTAGTAGTAACTTCTTTCAAAATCAAATTTCTGCCTTTTAATAAGTAGCTATTTAAGTACCATGGAAACAAGGCAGTAGTGTTTTCTGAAATGTTTAGGAGTTCTCTGAATTTTTTTCAGCTCTCATTACAAATACGTAATTTTGCTCCTGCATCTGAGCAATCATGCTTCAAAAAATAAACCTGATATGATGGGGTTTTACCAGTGACAAAGTTCATGAAAGTAAATTGTAACTGCTTTTATTTTCTACTTAAAATTTGATTAGGAGAACAGCATTCTTAGGAAACATGATTTGAGACGTGACTTTACTGTCAAATAACTTCCTGAATAGCTGCCACAATTGCAAATTATTGTGTGGTTGTAGGTGACATCAAAGAAAAGATTACTGTGAAATTCAGTGTGTTTGTGAATGTAGTGCTTCCTTTATGTCTGTGTTCTAGAAGATGGAATAGACGTCTTTGGAAACCATGCTGCTCTTGACTGAGCTGCTAATTGTACAAGACTGATTTGGATCAATATGCTTAAATGATGGACAATTTGTTCTTCCAGGGTTCTCACTTCACTCTGTAAACTGGAGAAGAGTTCAAGCAGAGCTCAAGGAAGATGGAAGTAAAATTCTGTTACATAGAAGAGTGGATTTTGTCCTCAGACCTGGCCCTGTCACTTAGAGGGAGAATTCTACACTCATCTAATCACTTTGCAAGTACCAGCTTGGATTTGCTTTAGCAGTCTTTTCCATGAGCAAAATTTCTACTCTTAATCTTTTCCTTAATATTAAAAGAAAAAAAATCCATTAGTAAAATTAATAATGAAGGAGCAATGTGCTTGAAGCAAATGTGTCAAGAAATGACTTATTTTTTCTGAATAATGAAAATAAAGGGTGAATTCATTTACCTCATCTTATTTTTTGCTGTCACAACACTCTGGAAAATTCTTGCCTTATGCTGTCCTACTCAATGTTTATTTGTTTCTGTCTCTGAGGGGATAGCTTATCATATAAAAGGAGAACACATTGGAAAAATACAGTTGTTCCCTATGTTCTCCAAAAAGTCTTGTTATGCAAGGTCCTCTTCTAAAATACATCTGTCACACTCTATGAAACATTTATGTGGCCTCTGTTTTCATATCTCACCATCCTAATTCTTCCCAAGACATAGCTGTGATACAAGAAGGTACTACTGTCTCTGTTATAGTGAGGGGAAATTAAAGTACAAAGTGCCTACGTGAACTGGCAAAATCACAAAAGAGGCCTGTGAGGGAGCAGGAAATTGAATATCAGCCTTATAGCTTAGCCAGCATGTCAGCCTTCTCTTTGAAAAGAATAAATGGTCCTGGAACTGCTGAATGGTTATTGGAATCAATATACAAGAAATAAACAGGAGATGTTGTTTTTTTTCCATAATTTTGCATCTGAGATAATGTTTATATTTCAAATTTCAAAATTTATGTATTTTCAAAGAACAAAAATAGGCAGATCAAGCAGAATGAGTAAAATATTTTAATGCCATGGAATTTTGAAGAAATCAATGTAAATCACAGTCAGATGCATATATCTATGTAATTTATGTGACTATGTAGATATATATACACACACACATTCTATTTCAGAAGTTATCTTCCCATCACTTCTGACTTTATTGATAAAGACATTTTCTATCAAGGCAGGACAAAAACAAACTCCAGATTTTTGTACAATGTCTTGCTGACAAAATATGCCCACTTGTCCCTTGCTAGTTAATACATCAGGCATATCTTACATAACTTTATTTATTATTGTTACATAATTGATTTCTATTTTTATTGATATGATTCTCACAATTGAAAAGCCCACAGTCTTTAGAAACAGATTCTATATCAACTATTTTTCCAGTTAGAAACTACAAATGTACCTGCTAATATTGCATATTCTTCAGTATCTTAATTTAACAATCTTATTTTAGTACATCAAGGTTCTGAAATGCCAAGACTGAAACAAAAATCAAGAAGCCAGAATATGGCATGTTTCTGTATGGTATTCAATGCTAATTATTAGCTATTTCAAGGAGGTCTGGAGCTATAATAGTGAGGTCATTAGCCTGACTGTTTATAACCTATTATTTAGCTACAGTGTAGCATTAAAGAGTCAACTATTCACATTTGCTACTCAGGTGGAGACATTTATGACCAAACAGAAATTCTATACGCTGTGGTTTTCCCGATATTTCGCTCAGCTGTTCGCTACATATTGGAAACCATGATTACTAAATTGCTTGCTAAATTCAATATAAAATTTAATTAATTAGAGAAATATACTTTACCAAGAATTATATTTAACAGGGATGAGCCTATGTCCTAACAACAGTATAGGTCCAAAGAAGGAAAGAGAATTTAGGAGTAGAGAACTTCCTTGCTACTGTGAAATGAAATGACTAGAAACAAAAGAAAAAATCTTTTCCTCACCCTTCTTTTACTTTTATAGCTCAAATCAGAAATAAAGATAGATGAAATTTTAATGTCTTTGCAATGAAAATGTTTTGAAACTTTATTAAAATTTCATCTTCCTGGGTTTTTGGGCCATTTATCATCTAGTTCATTTCAGTCAATGACAGCTCTATAGTGATCTTCTATTGATGTGAAACGAGCTTTTTTCCAGTGTCATGTCACTTAATCCATCTATTTTTATGTTTCTTCAGATTTGTCTACTAAAACATATGAAGTTTAAGGCTCTGCAAAATAATAACCATCTTTCTAAATCAGTTTATTCTGTTCTCATACACCTTAACTTTTCAGACATTATTTTATGTGAAAATTTTACATGTCGTGAGTTACTGCTGTAAATTGTGGATGAATTTTCCAGCTAAGCAGAACCTTTTTAGTGTTGCAAAATACCAGTAACTTTAGTAGCCATGTATATTTGATGTCAAGAAAAAAGAAGAGTTTAAGAGATTAAGAGTTGGAGTAATTAGTATTGGAAACTAATCTTCATGCTGAATTCTGGTGGAGTTGAATGAGTGAGTTTTTGAGCAAGACTTTTGATCACCCCTTTTATGAATAGTGAGTCTCTTTACCACCTCTGCTTAAAAACTTATTATTTCTTTTCAGACATTTCCTTTTCTTTCAGACTTTGAACTGGTCCTTCTAATCCTAGCAATGGGCAGTTTAAACACACAAATAAAATCTAATGTCTTTGAAAAAAACCCTGAATGGGAAAAGACAATTCCTTTGACAAAACATGTGATACTCACTGTAAGGTTGAGAACAAAATTCATGTGTGCAATGGACACACCCCAGCCCAGTGCCAGTGAATGAACCAGCAATCCCTGAAGCAAAAGTCATGACTTTCTAAAAACTTTAACTAAGTGCTGTAACAAATTGGATTTTTGCATTAGGCTTGTAAGGGATGCATCAAAATTGCCTGAGCCTTAGAGCTCAGTAAATTGTTCAGCTCCATGCTAAAACACTTGGGTAGGGGATGGAAAGGATATAATAGGTCCTTGAGAACATAACAAATTTAGATCAGTGACATTCAGAATGATGAGCAGCTTAGTGGTAGCTGCTTGAGTAGGCAGATATTCCATTCAGTTTTATTTTATCTTAAAAAGGCAACACGTATCTGATATCAGAAACTTGGCATCATCACTGATAGTACATTGATCTATACAGGGTGAAAAATTAGCAGAAATGGTTTAATGTTTTTAACATAAAAATGAAGAAGTGTTGGAGCTTTTAGAAATGTATGTAAATTTTGAACTACAGAATTTTCAATCTACAAATACTTTTATTTACAGGAATAATTCTGTCTGCCAATGCTAGAAGAATAGTTACCTTTTTTCCTCAGTGCTATTTATCTCATTGTAATGAAACAGCACTTCCACCCCTACAGATCAACACTGATATCATATCACTGGTAATAGAAGGTACTTCTGAATCATATGGAAGATCAGTATAATCGAAAATCAATGACCTAAACTGAGGCTGGTTGTTCTATAATGTGGTTTATGTAATTTGATAATGCCAATCCTAATGGAGTTAAATATAATCCATCGAAATTTCAGGATGCAAGGGTCAATAGGGAGTGCAATGCTTCACTTCCCAGCAATTACCACTTATTACTGGGGCAGTGCTTTTGCTTTGCTGTTCTGCTTGCCTCAATAAATAATATTTGGAGACCCTGCAGCTGCAGTCAATAGAGTACAGTTTTATTGTCACAGCTTCATAGTCAGATCAATACCAACCCTTCTGAGACATGGGAGAGAACCACCACACGCCAGTCTAATGAAACCATGTGTTTTTATGATTCTGAAATTATACATTTTATTCATTGCTCATGCTTAATGTCACTGTTGCTTTTAATAGGCCCCTTTTGACTAAACTTTTATGTGCCCTTCACATGACATTTATGTGTACAAAGAAAGGGAATTTGTGTTCTTAAAATGAGTTATAGTGAACCAAAATTGCAAACATTTCCTGATTTTTTTGTCATGTCGAGTTCAGTTACAACATTTCCCTATATTGCTGTTGCAGCCTTTGAGAATAAACTAGAAAATAATAAAAGTGTCTAAGTAGACCTCATGCAGCCATTTAAAATCCACTGAAGCACAATGTAAACTTCACTCAGAATCACATAGGAGTGTGATTCTGCATTGGTTAAAAAACCCAATAATATTAAATTATGTCCAAAAAGTTATCTGCATCTTTATGAAATTGTACATGTTACAGCTTACTCTGAAAACACTGGACTCCATTTGGCTGTGCAATTCTAAAAGCTCAAAAGATTTAAAGGAAGAACTTCCATCAAAGAAACCTAGGCTCAATTCAGGAAAAATATTTAAGATGCAAGTTAAAGTCTCTTGTATGAACACCAGTAGTGATGTGAATAAGCATCAGGGAGTAGCATCATTCCATGGAAACAATTTTCTTTATAATTATTTTTTAACTATTACTTGTATTTTTTACATCTCATGCCAGTGATGATTTGTCACAGGATTATAGAAATAAGGTGATCAGTCATTTCCATTGGGTTAACATAGACTTCTTTCAAAGAATGCTTTGGAAACACCAAAAACTCAATTTTTTCTGCTGTTAAAAATCCCAGAAGATGTATAGACACGGAAAGTCTGTTCAATGATTTAAAGTCAGGTAAAAAAGGTGAGGAAGGATTTCAACATTTCTTTAAAACAGAGACCCTCTTTCCAACACCTTCAGGAGGGAGTTTTCCTTTGCAGTAGCATAAATATTTATAACACTCACCACCACCTGCACAATCATCCCCATAAACTGATATGCTCTTATAACTACTGGTAATGAAACGAGTTTTACACTGCAAGCCTTTGGCAATGTGTGTGTGCAGTACAGACTTTATCAAAACAAGAGCACCAGTAAGCTCCAGCCACTGCTGTGGCACAGCCACTGCCTATTTGGAGGTGTTTTCTTTCCCAAACAGGCATCCCACGTGCACATATATATGCATACAAAACTAGAGGGAGCAGTGTTGCTGCTTTAGATACAGATTCTTGGGATTCAGGTTTTATTCCTATTTTTCCACCACTGATTTATTGTTAAAGTTTTGGGAACTTTATCTGAAGTGTCCACTTGAAAAACGGAACATTGATACCTGATTATTTTCTCTGCTTTGAGATTAAAAAAATGAATGCAAAATGGCACATATGATGTAAACACTTTGTGAATAACATTTATATGTATCCAGGCTTTTAAATAACTATTTTGGAACAGAAAATGTGTAGTTACCTCATTTTACTATAACAATGATTGTTCTGTTTGGGACACCTAGGTTACCAAAGCGAAGTTACTTAACTACTTCAGCGACTATTTGGGACAGCTTCCAGCTTTTAATGATTCTAGAACAATTACAAATTTGAAATAATGTCAAACCAGAAAAATTAAAATTAATAAATGTCTTCATTTCAAATCTCTCCAGAAGGTATAATTACTTAAAATCATGTCTGAGATCCAAAATTTTGTTTATCATGTACGAGCAATCTTTGTGGGCTTTTTGGTCATTATCCAGATTCATATAGGTTTTCATATAAGGTTTCAAAACCTTAAAAAGGAATAAGTAAGATAGAATTCCAGATTTGCAATAAAATTTTGGCAGAAGAGACATTC